CCCCCACCTTTTCCGAAATGTGAAGCATGATAGGGACAATAGGATAAGGAACTAAGAGGGATGTGGCAAGGTCACCCCTACGAGCTAAAACGGTCTACAGCGTCTGATCCATCTCGATGCAGCCGCGCTATTTCTCCTATAAATTGAATCTTAGGCAGTTCCTTGAGACGGTCGCCATGGGGATGCAATCGGGATATTCGATTATGTCAAGTCCCAAAGTATGCGATGTTCAAAGCTTGATCTTAGGATTGCTTTCAGGGTTGCTAGTAGCTGATAATGAACGACCTGACTTAACGGAGTCATTCACGGAGAATTCTTGCATTGTTTACCAACATGAAAGCGATTACGTAAAAGTCTAACGCAATAAAGTTCAGATTCCGAAGAGAAAACAAATCCACAAAAACCACCTCTGGGGACGGTCGCGGGTAGGTCGGGCGGAGAGAAGGGAGCGTATGGAAGGAAGGGTGCGTAAGGGCGGCCATGCATCAGGCGACATATTGAAAATATCGAGTTGAAGCGTTCAACTTTGAAGAATAGAGAAAGAAAAGGATGCAATCGAAAAGGGAAATGTTATTGCCATAGGTGGGAAAGGCCAAAAAGAGTTCCTAGTGAAGGCACTCCGAGAACCAAGTGGAATCGTTCCCGTCGCCAACATTTGTGACAGATGTACGGCGGGAATTTGAACGCGTAACAGTCCTTCCGGTTTTTCGAATTGTTTACCAAACAAACGCAATTTTTTGTTCTTTTCGTTCTGATGGATCTGAAATCGGGGATGTATGGGCGATAGAATCATGACTTTTCCGTAGACGATCCCTTCAATCGGAAGAACGCCAACCTAGTGTTCGGCAATATCCCTATGACTCGTGTCTCTTGTGACTACATCTTACCAGCCATCGAGTATTCTGGGATTTGTCCCACGTCTATTCCGTGGACCCTGATGAATTAAAAAATCGAAATAGTGTTCAAATGACTCTACTGTACAGACTAACCATAACCTCATGCTCTATGTCATGTAAGCTTTGCTGATACTTTTTTGTCCCCAGTCTACCCGCTCTATTAGTTGAGGTGGACGTAGGTGGTATAGTGGCCACCTAAGCTACCTTCGAAAGGTTGTTCGCGATCTCGAGTGGAAGTAGGAAGCGTGGCGCCTCCCAAGAACGGGTTTATCATCTCTGAATGTTTCATTCATATCATTTGTAAGTAATAATAGGGTAAACAGACTGTAATCGCATTAAAGGAGGATTCCACGACAAGAACGAATGTCAAAGAAGGGGAAAATTGCCTAGTTGGGAGACAGGCGGACCTCCTGAGACGCGCAATTGGCAGCGAAAGATTTGACCTCGGCGATCTAGCATGGCTCACTCTTGGCGCAGTTGGCGCGGTACGCCCACCGACATAGCAGAGAGAGCGTTAGCGTTGAAGAGGGCACGATGAGAGTCGCATCAATGCGGAAATCAACGGGCAAGGAAGGGTCCCATTTCTCGGGTTCCGGGCAGAGTCAACCCTGCGTTGCGCAGTTCTCAACGGCCACGTTGCGCAGTTTCGCCCGATTA